CATTTAGCACAATTTGACAAAAATTTTAGTTTAGAACTGAGATTAACAACGGGCTTAACCACTAGAGTATTAGTGAAAGTTTTTCCATGACATAAGTAATTTGATGTATGATCCACATCGCATGGATCATTTGTGCAAATTGGCCCAATAATTCAGTCACAAGATTAGAACACGAGGAATTGGGAGTGAGAGGACCTGCTTAGAACATGAGATCAGCAAGATGCAACAGAGACTGATCCCATTAACTCAAAACCAACCCCGCCAACCCCCACCCCCCCCCGCGCCCCAAAAAAAAAAAAAATAAAAACACCTCATCCCTTTATCACCTCAGAAGAAGTAATGATGGTTTTAGGGGCGACAGCGACACCTTTGCTTCTTCCTCCTTTTTCCTTTATCATAATTTCGAGTGTAATTCATTGTTTATTTATTTTGACTTGGGGTAAAATTGTAATGTATTTCAACTTAGCCCAACAAACAAAAGAAAAAGTCTTAAGACCATCTCCAACCATGTTGGGGCTAAATTCAAATTTTCATTCTCCAAAATACAATTATTCATGTATTTTTAGGACTCAAACTGTTTTTTCTTCCAACCTTGCGGACTCATAATTTGAGTCCGTAACTTTATTAAATTATTAAAGAATAATATAATCCTATTTTGTTTTTGTGGTTTATTTTTTTAAAATTAATTTTTGCATATTGCTTCGTGATTTATTTTTTTGAACATTTTGACATAAATTTTTTGAAATTTCACAAACATAATTTTATTAATAAATTGATGGGTATTTATAGAGTTTTGGATATGTTTTGAGGTTGCATCCAACTTATAATAATATATTTACTTATTTTGACCTTTCGATTTAAATTTCAGCTGTTGGATTAATTTTTTTTCCCTTTGATCCAGCCAAAATTTAATATCAGCCGTTGATTTCTAGACTTTAGGTTTGAAAAAAAAAATTTGAAAGAAGCCCATTTTAAATGCAGCCATAGAAGTCCAATTTTTAAGTTGCCTAGGCTTTGACAAGTGGCCAGCAGCTTGGGGTAGCGGGCAACAACCCATCATTTGCTTCAAAGGTAGCCTCACGTGTCTCTTGTCTTTTGAGAAATGGGCCCCACAAAAATTCTGACTGGACTCGAATCCGAGGCGAAATTCCACCCCATTTTTCAGTCCACTCAAATTATCCCCCTCCAAATACATGGGTTGGAGAAGATTTTGGGCTAAAAATATCTAATTTTCGGTTTGACCTTCCATGGTTGGAGATGTTCTAAGCACGTCTCTGTTGATAGTTACCCAAGATGGCAGCACCAATTGAAAACAAAGCATTTCATGAAAGTCACTGCATGCCCACTCAGAAAGTTACTACACAATAAAAGCTGACAAAGAGCCCTCACCAAAGATAAGACTTCACTGTTTATATCTTGAGATTGTAATGAGCAAATCAACCAGACTTGTGGATTGAAGAAAACAGAGAGATGGAGGGAGAGAAAGGAAGAGTGTGTGTAACAGGTGGTTCAGGGTTTATAGGGTCTTGGCTGGTCATGAGGCTCCTTGATCATGGCTACTCTGTCAACACCACTGTCAGATCAGACCCAGGTAAAGCCACTACTTCACTTGATTGCCAAGCCATAATATTTTAATGGAGATTTCTCTGTAAGTGTGGTATCTTGTGGGATTTTCATTTTCATAAGGTCAAGGGAAAAGCCCAGTCTTCATAGTTTCTATTGTTCCTGCCTCAAAAAGTTTTTCTGTCTTCTTATCCAAACCACTTAATTTGTGTGCACATGAAAAGTAAATCATAGCACCTTTTTTTCTCTTTCTCTTAACAACCAGAGAACAAGAAAGATCTAAGCTTCCTCACAAGTCTACCAGGAGCATCGGCACGGCTAAAAATTTTCAATGCGGATCTCAGCAACCCAGAAAGTTTCAATGCAGCCATTGAAGGATGCATCGGATTGTTCCATGTTGCTACTCCAGTTGACTTCCAAGATAAGGAACCTGAAGAAGTGGTGACCAAAAGATCAATTGATGGAGCCCTTGGCATTCTAAAGGCATGCTTAAATTCGAAAACTGTGAAACGAGTTGTATACACCTCGAGTGCATCTGCTGTCCAGTTGGGCAAGGAGGAGGATGCAGAGCAACTGGATAGAGCTTTTGGAGTGACATAGATTACATTAAAGCTGTCAAGCCATATGGAGGCTCATACATGATTTCAAAGACATTAACTGAAAGGGCAGTTCTTGAATTTTCAGAGAAATATGGATTGGATGTTGTGACAGTAATTCCTTCTTTTGTTGTTGGCCCCTTCATTTGTCCAAAGCTCCCCGGCTCTGTTCAAACCACTTTGTCTATGGCCTTTGGTATGTATAGCTTGAAGAATGTGTTTGAATCCAAAGTCCAAACATATTGTAAAGCATCTTCTCTGAATCATGTTTTAATGCAGGTGACTTTGATCAACTTAGCTTTATTATCAATACATCTGTGGTGCATGTGGATGATGTTGCCGGAGCACACATTTTCCTTTTTGAACATCATGAGGCAAAAGGGAGATACAATTGTTCTGCAGATGTCATAACACTTGTACAAATAGCTGAATTAATCTCTGCAAAATACCCGGAAGCTCGAATACCGTCTGTAGAGTGAGTTAAACTATTTTTCTTCACATTACTCTTGTCTCTTTTCCGTTTCAGTCTAAAGAATGAAATTAAAACTCCTTTGTTTTCTTGGTTCTATCTTGATGTGCAGTGATTTAAGTAGAGTTGAAGGTCCGAAATTTTCTACTCTGTCATCAAAGAAGCTATTGGATGCTGGTTTCAAATTCAAGTATGGGGTTGATGAGATGTTCAGTGATGCAATTCAATGCTGCAGAGAAAAGCATTATCTGTAGTTCCTTCCTGGAACTGTGAGTCTTATGCATGATTCTATGGAAGTTTGATACCGTAACAGAAAACCAATCCCCTTTGTTGGATGGGAAAAGGAACTTTGCAAGTTTGATACCAATAAATGCGCATTGTGTGCTATATTGATTCCTGCAGAAAAAAGAAAACAAAATTGGGATCTCTAGTATGAATAAAATGCTTGATTTTTTCCAAATGGCCAACAAAAACTATGCAACCACATATTCATAGGTAAGGTAAAGGTATCAGATCTTACAGATGTAAGAGCTTTGTCTTTCTTTAATGACCTTTAAATTTAACAGCATTTCTCCTTATGAGAGAGACTATGGTGGTGAGATTTCAAGTTCAGCTTGGAACATTGGATGGGTGTATATGTGCACACCATGAAATGCAAATAGCAAAAATGTAATGGAATGGAACAATGAAAATCTTCTTCCAATCTTGTGCATCAATAAAGTCTTCAAAGAACAAGCTTAACTCCTTCCAGGGAAGGAGTCATTCCTTCTTACTTTCAAATCACGGTGTGATCAGGTAAGTAGGAATGGGCCATCTCAAAGGGAATGAGCAAGTATTTTTCTTTTTCAAAGTGAGATGTTGTAGAAACTAGAATTTTACTTTTATATTTTTTTAATACAAGCGATAGTATTAAAAGGGGGAGGGGAATTGCATACACACACGAATTAGGTGCTATGAGGTTTGAACTTGAGACTATTAATCTGCATGCCCAAATTCTTTTCCATTGAGCTAGAGCCGGTTGCCAAGATTTGTTTTAGTCATAATATATATATATATATATATATATATATTTTCTTTTTTCATTTTGCCAGAGAAAAAAGACAAACGAATGCAAACAAAAACGACGTCGTACTGTTAGTCTCTGCTCGTCCGTAAAAGTGAAATTTAAGCGAAGTTAACGTTTCATTTGACACGTCTAAGCAACAGTATAACGACCTTCTCCCTTCCCGCTCCTTTCTCGCCTCTCAAACTCAACTGAATCTCTCCCTCTCTCTGACTCTGAATCATTCTTTGATTTATCTTCATCTCCGTTGAATTTGAAATCGAATAATCTTCGCTGTTGCTACCACGATGTCGTTTTCAGATTCTGATTCGTCTTCTCATGGAGGAGCCACAGAGTACAAAATTTTCCGTCAAGTCAGCCGTGACCGTAAGCTGTCTCTTGCACCAACATTTTGCATTTCACGTTTTTTTTTCCGTTTGGTTCCCGGGAAAATGTCTGAGCGGTGGTGCTCTGTTCAGCTAGAGTCATGAGTGCCAAGAAAATGTAAAATAAATGCCATTGAAGCTCTTGATTATGCTTCATTTTTGCACCTATTGCTTTCTAACAAAAACGCGTGAGAGGAATTGAAATCAAAATTTAACGATGATATTTTTTTTTCTTTGGAATTTGTGATAAATAAGAAATGTATGAATTGGGTTTGTAGGGTTATTGCACGAAATGCTTGGATCAACCAGAACAGAGAAGTCCAAATCTTGGAAGGTAAATTGTTCAATTCAGTGTTTTTATTTTATTTTTTAAAATTTTCTTTTAAAGCAGCTAATCTATTACTTTTTAAAATTTTATAGAATTTTGTATTAATTTAGTTATGTGAAACTTTAATTCTACCAAGGAATCAGTTTTAATTGATTCCCTAATACTGTGGTTGTTTTTAATCATACTTCATTGGTTTTGATTTTGATTTTGATTTTTTTTTTGCCCCCAGGTCCTCATCATGGATAAAATAACAGTGAAAGTCATGTCCCATTCATGTAAAATGGCAGATATCACAGACCAAGAAATTTCATGTAAGCATACCTTCCAATTTTCTTTGTTCATTTTTTCCAATTTTCAAGTTCAAGCAGCTTCTTTCCCCCTGGAAAGGAGAGATGAGAATTGATTACGACATTATAAAAGTCATTGTTTACATGTCTGCTAAGATATCTTTAGCTAAATATTCTACAATGTGTTCCTTATTGCTTTTTATTGTTAGTTGGAAATTACTAGGAGCTGATTCTCTTTTGTTGCAGTGGTGGAAGACCTTTTTCGAAGGAGAGAACCATTGCCGTCCATGGATGTTATTTATTTCATCCAGCCAACAAAAGAGAAGTACAGTATTTTTCAAAACATAAAATCATTGATTCTTTCCTGATAATTACTTATCGTTCCACATGAAACTATGGAGTACTGTTTATCTGTAATAGTAAATTTCTCATCTCCTATACATATATATATATACTTGCATATGTGAGGCACATGAAATCTCAGCATCAGATTCAGTTATGGTGATGTCCTTGCGGTCATGCAAAGGCTTGAGAATATGTTGACAATATACACCCCACAAATGGGCATGTCAAGCCTTGCAGCATAATATGAAATATCTTAGGCCTCTCCACTCATTGAAAACTGGTTTTGGGTAGGGTGCTCTAATTCTAATAGCTTATTGATAAAATTTAGCATGCCAATCACATTTCTAACTAAAATGATAGACCAATTAGTTTCTTTAATCAGCTTTAGAACATTCTTTTCTTGGTTGAGCTACTTTCAAAGGAAACAGAAGAGGTTACAGAAGCTTCAGGCTAGAAGGATATTTGTAAAAACTAGCCAGGGAACCGATGTCTTCTACCTTATTTTGTGAATATAAAGAAACTAATTGGTATTTGGTTTCTATTTTGACATGCACCTGAACTTCTACATTCCATTTTCCTTGTTCCTACCTTCTTTCTCTCTCTCTCTCTCTCTCTCTCTCTCTCTCTAAATAACTTTCTATCTCTTTAGCCTTGCTTGTTCAGAAGTATTCAATTACAATTTCATTTTCGTCTGGACTATTTGTAACCCTATCTTTTGCTAGCATGCAGTATTGTCATGTTCTTATCTGACATGTCTGGAAGGGAGCCTCTGTACAGGAAGTATGAGAAGGATTTTTGTTTTTTTCTTTCTTTCTGAATTTCAGAATTTATCACTTACAAGTTCAAACAGCATTATGCTGATTGTGGTTTTTTTGCCTGTTTCAATTTCATGGTTTCAGAGCATTTGTATTTTTCAGTTCACCTATCCCAAAGGAACTTGTAAATCACATAAAGAGTGATACAAGTGTTCTACCCCGCATAGGTGCATTGAGAGAGGTCAACATTTCCTCTTGTTATTGCTCAGTACTTCTAATGGTTCTTTTTACTTTTTAATTCAAATTTTTTTTTTTGATCTTATATTTCATTGGCATATGCAGATGAATTTGGAATACTTTCCTGCGGATAGTCAGGTATTGTAGTAATCTTTGGTTTATCATTTTTTATATATGATCCATCTTTGGTCTCTTTAGTTTCGGTTCCCATCTTCCAAGCACCATCATTTTGAAAAGCTTTACTTTTTATATATGACACTTATTATTTACTATTCCATTTCCTTTCTGATGGTACTATTTATGGAATGACTTCCTATTCTTTTCAGTTCCCCTAGTTGCAGTACAAAAAGTTCACTTTAGTTAGTGTGCATTGGCTTAACTGTCCACACTTTTTGCATCAAACTAATTAAACTATTTATACTCAATCTGTAGAGTAGAGATAATGAACTCAAGTGAAAGTTTCCTTAAAATTTCATGACATTGTTATAGAATACTTGAGACTGCAAAAGTGCATGGGGTGAAATGGATTCTGCTTCTCTGTGACAAGTTGGGGTGTTAAACAGTCTGGCCACATTCAAATGTTGATCCACCGTTTTTGTGTAAATTAGCCTCAGAACTGAGCATAATATTGTTTATATGGGCACAAAGTCAAAACCCGTGTATTTCATGTTTCTTTTCCTGTTGGGCCATTCTGAGTCGTGCCTCTCTTTTTTAATCTTAAATAAAATGTTAGAAAAGGAATCTGTAGGTTCTACTTCACAAGAAAATCTGGACTATCTTTGCTATTGAGCACCTCTGATCTGACCATACTGATATTTGAGCTATTTTCGAAAGCATGTAAGGGGGTGCTTTCTTCACTGAGATCACTTTATTGCAGGCTTTTAGCACTGATCAAGAAAGGGCAATGGAGGAGCTCCTTGGTAATTTTGGGAATGCTCGCAGATTCGATGCTTGCTTGAACATAATGGCAACTCGAATTGCCACGGTTTTTGCTTCTTTAAAGGTATCATTTCTTGTATTTACAATGTTGTTTTGTATGATATGTATCTTACACTCTACCTAAATATTATAATTACTGCTAATGGCATATTTGCTACATGATTAATTTTTTTTAAGATCGTAGAAACAAAGACATAGCCTTTTTATTTTTGGAAACAATAAGTTTTCTGGGAATAAAATGGGTGTTTACTACCTTTGTGTTTGGTACAAATGTCTAAACAAGTTTGGACTATCTCAGGAGCTGCCATTTGTACGGTACCGCTCTGCCAAGGCACTGGATGAATCTACAGAAGCAACACCTAGTGATTTAGTTGCTACAAAGCTTGCTGCTACTGTTTGGGATATAATTTCAAAATATAAATCTTCTATTCCCAACTTTCCACAGAAAGAAACATGTGATCTGCTCATATTGGATAGATCTGTTGATCTGGTTATTATTCCTTGTCCTGTGCCGACTTCTTTTTCTTCTTTCTTTTGTTCTTTCTGTATGCTGTTATATTTTTATTTGTTGAATGTGTTGGACTTGCATGAATAGATTGCTCCTGTCATACATGAATGGACATATGATGCTATGTGTCACGATTTACTGAATATGGACGGGAACAAATATATGCATGAGGTATGTCTTCGTGTTCCTTTTACGACCTTTTGTTTTTGTTTAAATATTCATTTTGTATATTATATATATTGGGATGACGTATATTGTATATTAGGTTCCTAGCAAAACTGGTGGTGATCCTGAGAAAAAGGAGGTTCTTTTGGAAGACAATGATCCAGTATGGCTTGAGCTTCGCCATACACACATAGCAGATGTATATTTCATGATTTCAAACATTTTCATTTAATTGAATATATTATAAATGTGAATACTATAGTCCACTAACTGAAATATCAGGCTAGTGAACGATTGCACGACAAGTTTACCAACTTTGCATCAAAGAACAAGGCTGCACAGCTCCAACAGAGTGCAAGGTTGGTGTTAGTGTCTAGAAGGCACTCTTTAGAAATTGTTTTCCATTTGATGTAGAGAGGTTTTATCTTATTGGTCCTGTCTATTCTTTTGATCAAAAAATTGTTTTACATTACACGAATGCATAGAAAATGGACATCTTAGTAGTTATGAAAATGTAGTCTCAGAAGCATGTCCAGACCACTAACTCATCTTTTTTGTTTAAAATAAACACATGTCAATGCTGCATGAAGATAGGCTTTGCATCATGGGTGCTGAAGCTTATTCTCAGATTGTGTAGACTAGGATGAGTGTTCTTCGATCTTATCATTCTTGAGAGAACTGTAATATAGGAGAATCAATCATAGACTTCAATTGATGTATCTCATGTAACCTGATGGTAATATACATATTTTAAAAGATCGACTTTCGGGTATAAGGATATATGGGATATTCAGTATCAAAATCTTTTGTTTAATATACACATGCAGCTTCATTTTATGGCTCTAAAGTTTGGATTCATTAGAAGTGTGTATGGATCTTGAATTATTGTTATCATACACTACTTATATAGAAGATTGACTTTATGCAGAGAGGGCAATGAATTATCTACACGCGACTTGCAGAAGATGGTTCAAGCTTTGCCACAATACACTGAACAAGTTGAAAAGATTTCTCTTCACGTTGAGGTTTGCTTTGATCATTTTCAGGCATAGGTGCAATATATAGCATTTACTTTTAAGAGAGTCGTAAAGCATTTAACCTGTTTACGATGTTAATTAAGGTGGCTTTATTTCTCTTTGCATGTTTTGAGGAACACAAGTCACTGAGAAGTATTTATTTAAGTAAATGAATTAAAAAACCAGCAAGGACTATGTTAAACTTTTTACATTGTAATTTCTTTGTTGGACGTTTGAAGCACAGTAAATCGGGTCTGTTTTGCACTTTTTTTTATTTTTCATAACTAAAATAAGAGGGGAGAAACAAGAGAGGAGTGACATGAAACATGTGAGGAATAGATGAGGGAAGCTGATAGAATGGAAATCAAGCATTAAAAACCATTTGAAGTTATTCCTTGTTCGAAGGCAGCCGAAGGTCTGAGGATGGGGAGGGTTAGAAATGGCTTTTAGAATGCGGAGAGTTAGAGTCAAACTCTGACACTGAGGTTAAACACTCTTACCACGTGAACTTTCTCACAAATTGTTTTTTGTTTATGCTCTTAAAATTCTTATATTCATTTTCCTTCCTCTCTCTCCCTCATCTCTCTTTCACTTTCTTTTCTCTTCCTCTCTTCCTCTCTTCCTCTAATTTTTCTTTAAATAAAGAATGGGGATCAAAAGAGCTATTAAGTATTTGGTTCTTTCTTTAAGAATGTATCCTCTAGAACGCTTATTTTGTTGCCTGCATTAGCAAGAGTCCAAGTAGAAATGAATAAAGTGATCATTTTAAGGGTGTGATAGGGATTAGAAGGATTGGTGGTTAAAATTGGTTTTAGTGGCTTTAGACTTGCATACTGATTGTTTTGCTTGATTATTTGAGTCAGATTGCAGGGAAAATTAACAAAATTATTAAGGAAACGGGACTTCGAGGCCTTGGGCAACTAGAGCAGGATCTTGTCTTTGGAGATGCAGGAGCCAAGGATGTCATCAATTATCTGAGGACCAGTCAGGTGATGTACAGAGGACATTAGTCCACTTCTTCTAAGTACTTGTGGATACTTGATATATTTTTAATGGAAGACTGTTCAATTTATGCAGGATACAACTCCTGAAAATAAGTTGCGTTTGTTAATGATTTATGCCTCTGTATATCCTGAGAAGTTTGAGGGAGACAAAGCTACTAAGCTAATGCAGGTAGCTGTGCCAATTCGTGATTTTTTTTCCGAGACAATTACTATATTAGTACAATTTGTTCTTTTCTTTTCAAAGTAAATTCCAGGCCGTCAACTCATTTAGCTTCACAACTAAGTAAAATAGCTGTATAGTTTTTAATTTTGGTTTTGGTTATATTTATAATCATTGATATGCTGATACATTTCATGTATACTGTATCATGTATATATGGTTATTTATGTTAACTTATAGCTGACAAAAAATGTTGCGTTAATTGCTTTCTGTTTATTTACTTAGTTGGCAAAATTATCAAGCGAGGACATGAAGGTTGTGAATAACATGAGGTTGCTAGGGGGTTCATCAGAGTCCAAAAAGACATCTAGCAGCTTCTCGCTGAAGTTCAATGCTGCAAAGGTAAGCACATCTAGTTGTGGAGATGCTTATTCGAGATTAGTGTAGTGGAGTTTTGTTTCAGAAAATAAGCACCTGACAGAGTAAGGCCTCAGTTTAAATATTCTTGTTTAAAATCAGACAAAGCAAGCAGCAAGAAAGGATCGCGTTGGTGAGGAGGAAACATGGCAACTATCTCGGTTCTATCCCATAATAGAGGTACGTAAGCTTGAACATAATGGACTCCACAGGTTACAACATCTTAACATTTTTCAGTTGATCATTTTAATGGGAATTAGCAACCCCACACTGCACTCTCTTTCCTTTCCTGACAGATGGGGGGAAAAAGAGAGATTGGTCTTGATGATTGTATATTATATAGTATATGGACAAACATACTTTGAAGGAAATAGATGGTAAAGTTGTATGGTCAAATGGACAAGTTTGAAGCTGAACTAATTTAGAAAGCTCATTAAGATAGCACGATACATAATTAACTGACCAGCATTTGATTACCTGTTTTTTTTCAGGAGCTCATCGAAAATCTTAATAAAGGTGAATTACTGAAAAACGAGTATTCATGTATTAATGAACCCATTCCAGCTCCCCAAGGGGGTAGCCTGAGAGGCAGCCGCTGTTCATCAGCACAGACAAGCCAATCTACCACTGCTCCTCATTCAATGAGATCAAGGCGAACTGCAAATTGGGGACGGGCTCGGC